GTTCCTTTGCTGGCTTGAAGTGTGGAAGAGGCTGTATGACAAGGAATGAGAAACCTCTAAGATCTGAGAAAAGCCCACAGCAGACATCCAACATAGAAACAGGGACCTCAGTCCTGCAACCACCAGGAACTAAATTCTGCCACAATCATGTGAGCTTGGAACAGTAGCCATTTGAGAATACAGCCTGGAAACGCCTTTCTTTTAGACCCCAGCCATACCGTGACCAGAATCTGTGCTCTAATAAACAGGAGCTGTTTAAAGCTGGTGAATTTGTGGTTATTTGATACACAGCACTAGAAAACTAACATAAGGCTCTTGCAATGCCTTCATGTCAACATTATGAACATAATGTATATCATATTGACAATGATGGAAGCGGAAACTCTGCTGAACTTGAACTGGCCTTAAACATAAACACTAGTAGCTTACTTGGAAAAATGCAAAATCTTAAGCTCACAAGTTATCATATTACTGATAATATGAGTATAGACATTAATGACAGATTTTATAACTATTCACTAGAGGACCGGTGTATCACCAGAGGGCAGCTCCTGCATTGAGTGTCTGTCCCCTGGTGGTCAGTGTGTGTCATAGTGACCAGTCATTCCCAGTGTTTCTGCTGTTAGGGTCAGTTTGCATATTACCCTTTTACTATATAGGATAGAGGCCTGGTGCATGGGTGGGGGCCAGCTGGTTTGCCTTGAAGTGTGTCCCAGATCAGGGTGAGGGGTCCCTCTTGGACGCCTGGCCAGCGTGGATGACGAGCTGGTGGCTGTTTGAGGCTGGTTACACCCCCTTCAGGGTGGGGTTCCCCACTGGGGTGCCTGGCCAGCCTGGATGAGGGGCTGATGGCTGTTTTCAGGCTGGCGGGCAACTGAAGCTCCCAGCCTCTTTTTTTTTTCTTTTTAAAATCTGGGATTTATTTACCTTCTATAGCTGTCACTGGAGATGAGAGCCGGCTCCAGCTCTGAGGCCGTGGCTGGTTGAAAGCAGGTATCTGGGGTTTGTTTGGCTTCTATAATTGAAACATTATTGCTTCCAGAGCTCAGAGGTGGGCCATGGAAGGCGGGGAACCATGGCTTCCTCCATCACTGGAGCAAGCAAGCTTCATGTTCACTTCAGCTGCATGGCTGCCGGCCGCCATCTTTGTTGGCAGTTAATTTGCATATCCTGCTGATTAGCCAATGGGAAGCGTAGCGGAGGTATGGTCAATTACCATGTTTGTCTATTATTAGATAGGATTACATTTAGTATTTGATTTTGTACAACGGGTTTTAACAGAAACTATATATCATAGGCTAAAAAATATACTGGGTTGTGAAGATAGCACTAGGTTAACATCCTGGCTATGACTCTGACTTTGAACAAGAACCCTAAATCTCTCTGCTGTTGAATGATAAGACCTATATCAATCTTCCAACGTTCCTGAAGTCATAGGACCCTATATAAAATACCTGGCATGTGCTCAAATAAATTTTATGTCATTTTATTCCTCTTATTTAAACTGTTATCAGTTCACTGAAATCAGGGGTCCTGATTTAGTCACCATCAAATCCAAAGGGCCTAGTATAGTGCCTGTCACATAGTAAGCACTCATTAATCTTTTGAAAGTAAGATAAACATATTTACATTCCAAACAATCTTTTGATGAAGATAGTATCCCCATTTTACACATAATACTAATGACCAGAAAAGTTGAATTTCTTACCTAAGTTTTCTTAAATTACAAAATGGTGAAGTACAGAAAAAAGCTTTCTAAATTTAAGTTTTATGCCGCTTCCATTGTACTATATATAGTCTGCACAGGTACCAGAGAGATATGAAACTATCTCAATGAGAATATTTTCACATATTTAGTCCTTGTGCTCCCTCAAAGGGAATAAAGATTGGCCTCCATTAATCCATATTCCACTAGGTAGAATTCTCTATTAAGCAATTTCTAGTTCTCATTTATGTCTATATTTTCAAAAAAAAAAAAAACACAAAACAAAACAAAACACAACAGTAAAAATGGATTCCATTGCCTAAATCCCCAGGAATCACATGGTGAGTAAATTCATCAGAATAACTTTGCAGGAACCTGCTTCAATAAACCATTTTGGGCAGAGGAGATTCTTTCTTTTCCCTTAAAAAATGGTGCAAATCTATGACAACACCAGATGCTGGCAAGGATGTGGGGGAACTACATCACTCTTATGTTGCTGATGGGAATTAACAATGGAACAACCACTCTGTAATACAGTTTGGCAGTTTCTTCAAAAACTAAGCATGTACTTACATACGACCCAGTAGTTGCAATTCTGTGTGTTTATCCAAATAAATGAAGACTATGTCCACATAAAAACTATACATGATTATTTATAGAAATGTCATGAGTAATAGCACAAAACAACTGAAAGCAACCAAGACGTGCTATAGTAGGTGGATGGTTCAATAAGGTGTGATATATGCATAGTGTGGAATAAGAGAGAGAGAGAAAGAGAGAGGCAAAGAGAGAGAGAGAGAGAGAAATTGCTACATGAAGCTATTGCATGAATAGATATCAAGGGCATTGTGCTTAATTTAAAAAAAAAAAAAGCCTGTCTCAAAAGGTTACATAGCCCTAACTGGTTTGGCTCAGTGCATAGAGCATTGGCCTGTGAACTGAAAGGTCCCATATTTGATTCGGGTCAAGGGCATGTACCTTGGTTGCTGGAACATCCCCAGTAGGGTGTGTGCAGGAGGCAGCTGATTGATGTTTCTCTCTCATCGATGTTTCTGATTCTCTATCCCTCTCCCTTCCTCTCTGTAAAAAATTCAATAAAATATATTTTTAAAAAAGGTTACATACTTATATTTAACACTAGAGGCCCAGTGCACAAATTTATGCATGGGTGGGGTCTTGCAGACCTGCCTCAATGGGGGCTGATTGGGCAGGGCAGGCGGGGGCGTGGGGCTGGGTGCAGTTGGCCAGCCAGCCCCACCCCTTATCAATGTGATGCAGTGGCTGATCAGGGCCTTGCCAGCTTGGAGCATTGAGCAGGGAGGGTGGGAGTGCTGATTGTTGCCTGGATCTGGCTGCTTGGCCTCCCAGTGCAGGTCATAGCCACTAGTCATTCCGGTAATGCTGGTAGTTCCTCAGTTCTGGTTGGTGTGTGTGTGTGTGTGTGTGTGTGTGTGTGTGTGTGTAATTGATTTACATATTATATAATTATTTATTTATTTTTGAAATGACCAAAGTATTGATATGGAGAACAAATTGCGCTTTCCAACTTAGGGATAGTAAGGGAGCAGGTGACTATAAAGGGCTTGCATGAGGCAGATATTTGTGTTAATGGAATGGTTCTATATTTTGATTGTGGTGTTCATTACAGAAATGTACACAAATGATAAAAAGAAAAATAAATATATACACATTGTACCAATGTGAACTGTTTGCTTTTGGCATTTAACTACTGTTACATAAAATGTAACCACTGGGGAAGCTGTGTAAAATTACACAGGACCTCTCCATTCAATCTTTGAAACTTCATGTGATTCTATAACTATTTCAAAAAATAAAGATGGGTGTAAGCCAAATGTCTGAGACCTCTGGTAGAATCTTCTATATTCTCTAGAACAAAACACCACTTTCACATTTTAACGGCCCCAACAGTAAGCAGAGTTCATATTTTATCAGGGGACTATGAAAACAAAGATGAAACAATCACACAGAAAATTACAAACTTTGTCTTTATTCCAGAGATTGGTATTCCCTTCCCATCCACCTTCCTCCCATCTCATGGCCTTTAAGTCTCGAGTTTACAATTCTCTTCCCAGTGACCTACACTCTATTCCAAAATATCCCTCCCCAATTGTGAGTTAATGAAATTTCCAATGTAGGAGAGATTTTTGAGCAGAAAAGCCTTCCAAATTCTGCTCAAACACCTCTCCTGCCCATGCTGCACTACACAGACACCCCTTCTCATGACACTCTATCTTCAACACCTCAGTACCTCACTTCATAAAATAAATGTCCCAGGAAGACGACTAACATTTGAAAAGTACTTTGGTTTACAAAGTACTGTACACAAGGGATCTCATGATGCTTGTTAGACTGGAGAATACATAAAGCAGGGATCGCTTTTCATCCCCATTATAGAGATGAGGTAATTTGGACCCAGTGAAGTAATGCTTTCAAAATAGAAAGTCAGTATGCACCCGTATGTGGTTAAAGTAATCAGCTGGCATGGCAAGGACTAGAAAAGAAAGCAGATTGTTTACTTCAGCTAGCTTTACTGCTTTATGCAACTCACCAGCCCATGTCTATGAAGAAGGGCACAATCATGGTGCTATAACCAAGGCTGAATTCAAATTAATTCTATTGGATCCCTGGCTCTCCCTCATCTTGACCAAGAAATAGAACAAACACCATAGCAGGAAACCTCAAGGAATCATCGTGGCGACGTCATTTTTGACTTCATGATTCTCCTTCTAATCTATCATTTCTAGCTGTAGCATGGCTGGAATTTTTCAGCCTTTGAATAAAGTACAGGTAATGAAAAAAGCTACATCATCGGAAAGATCATGGAAAATTATTCACATGAAATACTGTACTTTTGATAGCAGCAAACAGAAATGCAGATTAAATGACACCAGGCCCCCTACAACAGCAGAACAGTTCTTGGAACAAATTTTGAGAACCTGACAATACACAAATAACACAGCAAAGGAGTTTTATTATGAAAAGTAGAACAACAAGTAAATCTCATAATTTTTAAAGCTGCTAAACATTACATAATCACTTATTTTTTTTAAATATATTTTATTGATTTTTTACAGAGAGGAAGGGAGAGAGATAGAGAGTTAGAAACATCGATGAGAGAGAAACATCGATCAGCTGCCTCCTGCCCATCTCCCATTGGGGATGGGCCGGCAACCCAGGTACATGCCCTTGACCGGAATCGAACCTGGGACCTTTCAGTCCGCAAGCCGACGCTCTATCCACTGAGCCAAACCGGTTTTGGCTACATAATCACTTATTAGTCATAAACTGCTTTTTGATTCAAAGGAGCCCCTAGCCCCATTTCTAATAGGATTAGGCAACTGCAGGACAAATAAAAGATTATAAAATTCTTACCAACAGGATATTTTAGTTCTATGGTGGTTTCGCCTTCTTTACTTAATTCTGATACTTCACAAGTATAAATTCCTGGGACAGCATGGCTCTTGTCCATCATCAAAGAGGCATTGCCTGTTAGTAGTGCGTCTGGTACGATGTATGAACTCGAAAATTCACTGTTGGGGTGGGCTTCATTTTTCTCTCCATCATAGGTGAAAATGTATTTGTCTTTGAATTTCCACTTCACCAACATTTCTTTCAGGCTCTTTGCCTCTGAATTAGTGATTAAGCATGGGATAAGAACAGTTTTGTTGTCATTGGTGTATTCTACAGATTTGATTGTTTTAAATAATAGCTGAGTTTTAACTGGAAAAGAAAAAGAAAATAGTTTCATTTCACTATAGAATTCTATAGGGTAAGGTCTTAGGTATGTTATAAATCCTTAAGATAAAACAGCGATGTTTCAATTGTCTCCTTAAGTAAATAGTGTAATTACAGAAAGAAGGCAGGCCAGGTGAAGAAGTGAAACAAGTTATTTTAATATTAACCTGCACAGATGGTAGAGACCATTGTAACTTTTCCTTGTTATTCTCAGTAATACACAACATACATTACCAAGAGTATTGGTAATAAACTCAGCAACCTGTGTTGGAGCATGCAGGTGTATATTTGGCTTCAGAAGCTTTGAAGGAATCATTGTTGCTTACTGATGTAAGTAGAAAAATATTGTTCTTACCATGGAAAATTTTTGAACAGAAAATCAAACCAAATATTATATTGTCTCAATTTCTATATACTCCCTCCAAACAGAACTTGCTAAACCATATGAAGTTTATCTCTATCTTTAGGTTGCATTTCCAAGCAATATGTTGAGCTATATTGTACTTTAATATAAAAAGTTAATCAGACGAATCACATCACATCTTACATCTAAGATTGAAAGTCTTAGAATGCTAAGGACAAAAAATATTCTCTATCTCCCATTGCAAAATACAGACAGCAATGGACATTTGGTATGCAAATACTATAAAGAGATATATACAATTGAAAGGCATCTTCTCAAATTTCATTGAAACTATAGAACAACAATTTCCAAATGCATTTTACAGGTATTCCTTCCTCCTAAAAACCATAAATCACTCAATATAAACCTAACAAACAGATGAAATAAAAGACAAATGTTGCTATTAAGTAGGTATATCCTATTAAACACTTCTCAATAGGATAAACTACCAGTTGTCTTACAAAATAGGGGTTGGGAAGGTAATTGCAATCACTCATCTTTCACCTAAAATGTGCAAGATTGTAGAGAAATTGTAGTTCTCTTCCATATTTTTCAGCCATTTATTAACTCTCCTCTCTAAGTAGCTAGTTGAATTTTCCCTGAAAGAAACAAAGCACTAAAAGTAATATATTTTTTAGGAAAAAAGAAAACATCTTATTGAAAGCAAGCCAGATTACTACTATGCTTAGACAATAAATTTGTTTTTTAATCATGTGTACCCTTGATTTTAAAAACTATTTGAAAAATCATTCAACTACTGACAGTTCATATACTTACTCATTATTTAAGATTTTATTTACTAGTTTTTGAATTCCACTGAAAATGTTGATGTACTTTTAAACAAAGTATAACTTGACATATGGGCATGAGGGAGGGATGGAGCATAATAATTCATTCTGCATCTTGTAAACCAATACAGGGGGTTAGAGTTTGCTGTAATTAGATGGAATGGACATTCTAGATAACTTATTTTACTACTAAGATCAACTGAAACTATAGTGGCTACCAGTAAATGGCATTTGACTACCAGTCTTGTAAATGAATCTGAAAGTGTTGTGTAGGAAATTCAATGAGTTGCCATCAGCCTGACAGTTGGCAGGTTTGGACCTGCCTGTATTGAGCCCAAGCTCAGAGGAAAAGGACATGACCTCAATGCCAATGTGACCTTCATGGAACTCTTGACTAATTATAATAATACTAGAGGCCCAGGGGCACAAAATGTGTGCACTTGGGGGGGGGCAGTCTCTCAGCCCGACCTGTGCCCTTTTGCAGTCTGGAACTGCTTGGGGGATGTCCACCTGTTGCCTTAGGCCTGCTCCTCGGGGTATTGGGCCTAAGCTTGCAGTCAGACATCCCTCTGGCAACCCAGGAGCCCTCAGGGGATGTCCATTTGCCAGTGGGGAGCAGGCCTAAGCTGCAGTCAGACATCCTTAGTGCTGCTGAGGCGGGAGAGGCTCCCGCCACCACCACTGTGCTGGCAGCCATCAGCCTGGCTTGTGGCTGAGCAGAGCACCCACTGTGGGAGCATAGTGACTACCAGGGGGCAGCTCCTGCATAGAGCATCTGCCCTCTGGTGGTCAGTGTGTGTCATACTGACCAGTGATTCTCAGTCATTCTGCTTTTAGGGTCAATTTGTATATTACCCTTTTGTTGTATAGTATTTCCTTTTTAAGCTTTGATCCCACCCCTTGTTGGTTTTCTGTATACATTAAGGGTAAGGGCATGCCCAGAAGAAAGATAGTTTCAGTCAATCATCCCTGAATGCAAATGAAAGGCTCCACACATACAATCCCTCTTTAGAACCCAGGAGCTATGGGCCATGCTCTCTCTAGCATGCACTCCACCTCCAGGGAGCAATTTCAAGCCATTCCCTTCCACTTGCTTTCCCCACAGGCACATATCCCCTAACCTCTAAAGGACCCCATGAGACTACATCAAAATAAAAAGCTTCTGCACAGCAAAAGAAACCATCAACAAAACAACGAGAAAACCCACTGTGTGGGAAAACATATTTGCCAATGTCATATCTGATAAGGGCCTAATCTCCAAAATTTTTAGGGAACTCACACAACTTAACAAAAGGAAGATAAACAATCCAATCAAAAAATGGGCAAAGGACCT